GTGATTTGTGAGTAGTGTGTAGTGGGCAGTGCGTGGTGCGAAGTGAGTAGTGAGTAGGGAGTAGTGAATAGTGCGTAGTCAGTAGTGAGTAGTGAGTAGTGAGTAGTGAGTAGTGAGTTGCGAGTAGTGAGTAGTGAGTAGTGAATAGTGAGTAGTGAGTACTGAGTAGTACGTAGTGCCTAGTGAGTAGTGAGTACAGATGAATAGATAGAGAGTAGTGGGTAGTGGCAGTGGGTAGTGAGTAGTGAGTAGCGAGTAGGGGGTAGCGAGTAGTGAGTCGTGAGGAGCGAGTATGGCGTAGTGAGTAGTGAGTAGTCAGTAGAGAGTAGTCAGTAGTAAGTAATGGGTAGTGATTCGTGAGTAACGAGCAGGGAGTTGCGAGTAGTGAGTAGTGAGTAGTGAGTAGGGAGTAGGGAGTAGTGAGCAGTGAGTAATAAGAAGTGGGTAGCGAATAGAGGATAGTGAGTAGAGATTAGTAAGTAGTGAGTAGTGGGTAGTGAGTAGTGACTAGTGACTAGTGAGTTGATACTAGTGACTAGAGACTATGTAGTAACTAGTGAATAAAGAGTAGCGAGTAGTGAGTAGTGTGTAGCGGGAAGTGAGTAGTGAGTATTGAGTAGCAAGTATGGGAGTAGCGAGTAGTGAGTACTGAGTAGTGTGTAGTCAGTACTGTGTAGGGAGTAGGGAGTAGCGAGTAGCGAGTAGTGGGTAGTGAGTAGTGATTTGTGGGCAATGAGTAGTGTGTAGTGAGTAGTGGATAGTGGATAGTGGGTAGTGGGTAATGAATAGTGATTAGTGAGTAGTGAGTAGGGAGTAGTGAGTAGTGCTTAGTGAGTAGTGAGTATTAAGTAGTTAGTAGTGAGGAGTGAGTAATGAGTAGTGAGTAGGGAGGAGGGAGTAGTGAGTAGGGAGTAGGGAGTAGTGAGCAGTGGGTAGTAATAAGTGGGTAGCGAATAGAGGATAGTGAGTAGCGATTAGTAAGTAGTGAGTAGTGGGTAGTGAGTAGTGACTAGTGACTAGTGAGTTGTTACTAGCGACTAGAGACTATGTAGTAACTAGTGAGTAGAGAGTAGTGAATAGTGAGTATTGAGTAGCGGGGAGTGAGTAGTGAGTATTGAGTAGCAAGTATGGGAGTAGCGAGTAGTGAGTACTGAGTAGTGTGTAGTCAGTATTGTGTAGGGAGTAGGGAGTAGCGAGTAGCGAGAAGTGGGTAGTGAGTAGTGATTTGTGGGCAATGAGTAGTGTGTAGTGAGTAGTGAATACTGGATAGTGGGTAGTGGGTAATGAATAGTGATTAGTGAGTAGTGAGTAGGGAATAGTGAGTAGTGCTTAGTGAGTAGTGAGTATTGAGTAGTTCGTAGTGAGGAGTGAATAGTGAGTAGTGAGTAGGGAGGAGGGAGTAGTGAGTAGGAGTAGTGAGTAGCGAGTAGTGGGTGGTGGGTAGTGAGTAGTGGATAGTGAGTAGTGAGTCGTGAGTAGTGAGTAGGGGTAGTGAGAAGTGAGTAGCGAATAGCGAGAAGTCAGTAGTGGGTGGCGAGTAATGAGTAGTGAATATTATTTGGGGCTGGGGTTAGTGGTTGGGGTTAGGATTAAGGGTTTGGGTTAGGGTGAGGACTACGGGTAGGGGCGGCGGGGGTCGGGTTCCGGAGTCAGGGGGCGGCGTGGCGAAAAAGGGGGAAGGGGGGGGGGTGCGGCCAAACGGAGGGAAGGGGAGGAGGGGTCGGACCCCCCCCCCCTTTGAAAAGGGGGGAGGGGGGGTCCCCGACGACGGATCGAGGAAACGGGGAGCGGGGGCTCCCCGACGACGGATCGGGGAAGGGGGGAGGGGGGGGGGGTCCCCGACGACGGATCGAGGAAAGGGGGGGAGGGGGGTCCCCCCCCCCCTTGGGGTTATCCAGCGGCGCACCCTCGGGGAGAAGAGGGGGCAAGACATCGACCCTCGGGGCCCAGCAACGGGGCCCAAATCCCAGGTGGGGAGGGGGGGGGAGGTGGCGTGCGTCGCAACGCGGAATAAAATGCTCGGAGCGGAGGGGGCGGAGGTCCCGCTGGGGCGCTGGGGGCGCGCAGAGGAGGTAGGGGAGGTGGTGTGCGTCGCGACGCGGAACAAAACTGTCGGGGCGGAGGGGGCACGGGGCGGAGCCCCCACTGGGGCGCTGGGGATGCGGGGACGGAGGTGGGGGATGTGGTGTGCGTCGCGACGCGGAATAAAGCGTTCGCGCCGGAGGGGGCAGTGGGCGGAGCTCCCGCTGGGGCGCTGGGGACGCGGGGGGGCTCGGGGCAGAGAGCCACGGCGCGGGGGTCCCACTCTGGCGCTGGGGACGCGGGGGGGTGGCTGCGACGCGGAAAAAAGTGATCGGAGCTCTAGACACCCTGTGCAAGAGAATAAAAAATACCGAAAACATGTTCCATATGATCAGAAATTACTCCGACGGCAAGACCCCACATGAAAATCCGTCCGGTGAATATGGAAATAACCTTCACTGTCGTCCTCGCGATTAGCGAGGCGCCCTTATTGTCTTCTCTGCGTCATTATCATTCTCGCCCTGGCGCAGGGCCCTCACCCGCTCCCCGCGTTGCCCTAGCCTCGCCCTCCTGCTGTTTGTTTCGTCACCCACCACCTCCTCTTCTGTCTATTGCAAGAGCGCGCGCGTCGATTTTCCTAGACGCCGTCGCCGCTTCGGCCAGCGCGGGCGCATTCTCGAATGGCCGCGTCGCGTGGCCGTTGGGACAACCCCGCGGGCCAGGCCGTTGGGGCAACCGCGCGAGCCGCTGGGGCGCGGGAGCAAGCCGGTGGGACAACCCCACAGGCACCGAGCTAGTCACGGCCGCGCTCAGGCGGTTACCACCCCCGGCCTGGACGCAAGGGTTTCCCCCTGCGCCCGGCCGCCGTCGTCGTCCTCACCTCCTGTTCCTCCTCTCCCTCCTCACCTGATGGGTCGGGCGAATCGCCCTCTGAAGAGCGCATAAGGAGGGAGCTCCCGCCTGAGAGTTCCTCACAAATCACTCACAGACGAGGCTTCCCGCCTGATACTTCCTCCACGTTCCAGGCTCGGGAGCCCAAAAGTGACGACAGTTACAAGGATGAAAACGACCCGCTCGAATAAAAAATGCAAAATGTGAGCGCAATAACGAAGGGGTTCCCGCCTAAGGTTTCCTCAAAAACATTATCTGCGGGCCCCGTAAGGAGGGGGTTCCCGCCTGAGACCTCCTCGCAGTTCACTCAGAGATGAGGCTCCCGCCTGACACTTTCCCCAGATTCAAGCCTCAGGACCCAAAAAATAACGACAGTTACACGGATGAGGATGACCTGCTTGGATTACCAACATGAAATGCGGGCCCCATAAGTAGAGGGCTCCCGCATGAAACTTCCTCACAATTCACTAATAGACAAGGCTCCCGCCTGATACTTCCTCCATATTCACACCTGACGAACCCAAAAATGACGACAGGTCCAAGTTTCCGATGACCCGCTCGGATTACCAACGTGAAATCTAGGCTCCATTAAAAAAGAGGCTCCCGCCTGAGACTTCCCCACAATTCACTCACAGACGAGGCTCCCGCCTGAGACTTCCTCCATATTCATGCCTGAGGAGCCCAAAAATGACGACACTTACTTGCCGATGACCCGCTCGGATTACCAACATGAAATGCGGGCCCCATAAAGACGGGGCTCCCGCCTGAGACTTCCTCACAAATCACTCACAGACGAGGCTCCCGCCTGATACTTCCTCCGCATTCAGGTCTGAAGAGCCCAAAACTGACAACAGTTAGAAGTTCCCGATGACCCGCTCGGATTGCCAACATGAAATGCGGGCCCCATAGGGAGGGGGCTCCCGCGTGAGACTTTCTTGCAATTCACTCGCAGACGAGTCTTCCGCCTGATATTTCCTCCATATTCAGGCCTGGGGAGCCCAAAAGTGACGACAGTCACAAGTTTCCAATGGCCCGCTCGGATTACCAACATGAAGTGCGGGCCCCATAGGGAGGAGACTCCCGCCCGAGACTTCCTCTGAATTCACTCACAGACGAGGCGCATGATGGTGATGACTGATGATGATAATGAGGAGGAGGAGGAGGAGGAGAAGGATGTGGTGGTGGTGTGTACCTGCGCGGGGTGTCCAAACAAAATGATGCTGAGTGATGAGAATGAGAGTGTGTGTGTGTGTGTGATGTGCGACTGACTATGATGATGATGGCGGTGGTGGTGATGCTGATGATGATGCTGATGATGATGATGATGATGATGATGATGATGATGATGATGATGATCGATGGCCGATGGTGATGGTGATCGATGGTGAGTGACTGAATATGATGATGCTGGTGATGGTGGTGGTGATGATGATGACCGATGGTGATGATGACCGATGACGGGGTGAATGCGTGAGTGAGGCGGAGAGTGGGAGGGAGGTGAGGTTCCTGCGCGGAGGGTGTCCAGAGAAAACAAGAGCCCCACTCTGGATGTGGGGATTTAACAAAAAAATCGTCCCCAGACTATGTTTTGATTATTTTTGGATGTTCCTCCTGTAGAGGGACATGCCCGACTTAAGACAAGCCCGAGCTCTGGCGAACTGGAGTCTCACGTTTCCCCGACCATGGGAAGCGACAGCCAAGGGTCGAGGGGGTTGCTCTAGGTGCTCCTGGCCCCAAGGTCCCCCCAGCTTCTCGCTCAGTTCTGGAGCCCCTGGGGCCCTCTGGTTCCCGTGAGGGGTGCTCTGGAGGCCGTGGGGGCCTCCTCGGAAATCCTGGGGGGCACCTTGGGCTAGGGGCACATCTAGCAACACCCCGACCGAAAGGGCGGCGAAGGAGGCAGAGATAGAATAAGAAAAAACGTCATAAACATAAACTGTTGGCGCTCCGCGCGGATTTCTTGGATTCGCGCTGGACCCCCCTCCCTGGCGCGCAGAGCGCGCCAGGGCTGGCGCCAGAGGTGCCGCCGCGGATGGTCCCAGCGCGGATCCAGGAAATCCGCGCGGAGCGCCACAAGTTCATGTTGATGGCGCTTTTTCTTCTTCGAAGAGAGGAGGCCGGCAGCGAGGCGCGCCGCGTCGCATCGGCGGGAGTCTGTCCTGTCCCCCGGGCGCCGCGGGCTGCGCTGGGCAAGGTGGGGGCAGAGTTCGAGCAGGGACCGACCGTCCCGGCATTCCTATAGGCCTATCACGACATGTTCTTGGAACCCAGAAATGTTCTGAGAGCAAAACAATGTTCTGAGAACAGAGACCCGATGTGTCGAACACGACAGACTCAGCCAGAGATACTCTATAAGAACATTTCGTGCAGACCTTACAAGATTCTTAGAACACTCTGTGGTGGGCCTATAGGCGAGCCAGGACGCTTCGCCACTGCGTGATGTCCCCCGGGGCGCCGCGGGCGGCGCTGGGCAAGGTGGGGGCAGAGGGGCGTGCGGCGGCCTGGCTCTCGCGCGGAGGCCGGGCGGGGGGGGGCCAGGCCGGCCCACGCCGCACAGGCCTCGCGGGGCACCAGACCCAGACATGCTCGCGTCGTAGAAGACATCCCACCAGAGAAAAACCCCAATCAGTGGATGGCTTGAAATGGGATCGATGAAGAGATCGATAAGGAGATGGAAGAACCCGGGAACTCACCCGGCCACCAAAATCGGCGGGAAATTTTCGCAAAATCTCTCAATTGCCGCTAGGACCCCTTCAGTGCAAGCACTGATTGGAGAATCCGGACGGGAGGTTTTGGGGCCGTTTTCGGCCTCTGGGGGCCCTCACTTTCTTCTTCAGCGTTTCGAAATTGGGCGGAAGGGGGGGGAGGGGGGGGGGTCTGGCTCCGGACCTCTGCTGAATGCGTCTGTTTGCAGCAGTGCGTCCTCAGGGGGAGGGACTCCACCTGCTCGAAACAGGCGCCATAAACCGCCAAGATCTACTCCATAGGGAGGAGGAGGAGGGAGGGGGGGGCGAAGGCCCGCGCCGATCGGCAAAACAATTAAAAAACTATCACCTGGATGGGCCGGGGGAAGGGTCCAGACCTCTGGAGGTCGACCTTGCAAAAAGATCATGACGCCCAGGGGCACGCACAAGGGGGTAGGGGGCGGGGGGAAGGCTTCTTAGAAGGAGGCTGCTTCTGAGAAGGCGCCCGGCCCTACCTCTACAGACAAGGCAGTTGTTCTAAGAAGCCTTCCCCCTCACCTTACCCCCCTTCGCACGCCGCCAGGCAGAGGCCCTTGGGCACCACGGTAAGCTCGAAGGGCGACGACGAAGGTGCAGCTAGATTTCTTACAGCAAGACTTCTTATCGCATATGCCTGCGGTGGGGGCGTTGGGTTAAGGAACGTGCCCAGGAGGCTTCAGACCCTGAAGGATCCCGTATCTGATGATCGGGGGCGCGCAAACATGAATCAGCGATCCATGGATTTGGCGCGCGGTCGCCAAATCCATGGATCGGGGGAGGTGCCCTCCCCCAAATGCGGCCGGCGCCGCCTCGCTCGGCGGCGGCAATCCGCGGTTCCCCATGGAAACGGGACCCGCCGCGAATCCACGCCCCCCGAATCCGTGCCTGCGATCGCCTGATGATGAGGGCGGCGGCGATACCCGTGGCCGAGTCGCCGTTGCTGCTCCACCTTTGGAGTACGTGATCGTCTACAGAATTGATTTACCCCAAAATTGATTTTCTCGTCGAGTCATACGTAGGATGTTTGTGTATTTACGAACGCTCTACGCATTGCCAGTGGGTTCGACGAGAAAATCGATTCGGGGGTGAATGGATTCTGTAGTCAATCCCCTACTCGAGCCTTGCTTCCCCCCCCCCCCTGCGCGTGGCCGACTACTACACCCCCCGCCCCTCGCCGTGGAGGATCCCACCACGGGGGGGCTCGGGAGCTGCCGCCGTCGGCCTCTCCCGGGGGGGGGGCCCTCCGCGGACCGCCCCCGGGCCGCCCAGAAAGCGGCTCGGGGTGCAGAGTTGGCCCCGGGGGGGGGGGGGGGGAGGAGAGACCCAAGGCCAAGCCCAAGCCCCAAATCACGACGGCTCGGGGTGCAGATTTGGCCCCAGCCCAGCCGTCCAGCCGTCCAAAAAGCGGTCAGACCCAAGGCCCAAGGCCAGACCCAAGGCCCAGCCCAGCCGTCCAAAAAGCGGCTCGGGGTGCAGATTTGGCCCCGGGGGGGGGAGGAGAGACCCAACGCCAGGCCCAAGCCCCAAATCACGACAGAGGTGTTCCACTGTGTTCGGCCACCCCGGGGCCCATGCTGGGCCTCGGGGCCATCCAGAAAGGGCTCGGGATGAAACACTTGTCCCGGAGGAGGGGTCCAGACCTCTGGGGGTGGACGCTGCGAAAAAAAACCGAACTCGGGGGTCTGGGGATCGGGGGGGCGCCGACCCTGTCGGGCGCGGGACAATACCTCATGCAATTTGCCAAACTAGAGGAGGCGCGCACTTGCCTCTCCGCAGAAGGAGCCAGCAGTCAGTGCGACCCCCCAAAATCCCGACCCAGTTTTCGGATAGTCCGCACTGGCTGCTCCCAGGGCCTACAGTGGGGACTGGCTCCGGGAGGGAGCATGGGCGGTTAAGGGTCGATGCCTTCCCCACGGTGCGGGCAAGATGTATATCCAAATCCACTGCGTCTTGGACTTTCTGGAGAGGGGCGCCAAAAGGCCGAGGCACAGTGGATATGGGTAAAACTATATAGCCTCCACAGGGGCCTGATTAGTTTCAAGATCCGCTGCGCCTCGGGTGTCTAGGAAAGGTGGCCCGAAACTCCACGATGCAGTGGGTTTGGATACAACTCTTGCCCGCACCCTGAGCCTATGCCCCCCGAACGTTGCCTCCTGGTTTTCAGGTCATAACTTTAGGTCGGTCGTTGGCTTCAGGAGACTCACCCAAAAGTGGAGACAAAAGGGCGCGGCAGTGAAACCAAAGAAAAGAACCCAAAAGTGGAAGCAAAAGGTCGCGGCCTCGAGGATAAGCAGGAGCACCCAGTCACCGCGTGGGAGTTGCCTCCGCTGGGCCTCCCAGGAGCCCACGAAAGTGGCGACAAATGCGCAGATCGCAGGCCCCCCAAGGGGCGGCGAGGTCCCGAGGTGGTCCGCACATGCCGTACCTCCGCTCACGAAAGTGGCGACAGTTGCGCAGATCGCAAGCCCCCCAGGGGGCGGCGAGGTCCAGAGGTGGTCCGCGTATCACGTACCTCCGCTGGACCTCCCAGGAGCCCACGAAAGAGGCGACAGTTGCGCAGATCGCAGGCCCCCCAGGGGGCGGCGAGGTCCCGAGGTGGTCCGCGTATGACGTACCTCCGCTGGGCCTCCCAGGAGCCCACAAAAAGGCGGCAGTTGCGCAGATCGCAGACGGCACGAGAGAAGAGGAGAAGGGAACACAGGGAACAGGAGAGAAGGAGGAGAGGAGGAGAGGAGGAGAGGAGGAGAGGAGGAGAGGAGGAGAGGAGGAGGAGGAGGAGAGGAGGAGGTGGAGACCACCCAGCTTTGTTCAAAACGAGTATCCAACACCACAGGAGGGTTGGGAATAACATGCGCATATTCAAAATATGTTTAAAAAAATGTTCAAGAATGATCCAAAGCCGTCCCCGTATCATTTTTCCTATTTTTGCATACTCCTCCCGTAGAATGACAGGCCCGACTTGAGCCTGGGCCCCCCGAGAGTTGCCCCCCAGCCTTCGGGTCACAACTCGGCTCTCCAACGGCCGTGCGGGACGATGTGTTCGACCACCCCTGGGAGCGGTCTCGGGGCGGCGCCGCTCCTGGAGAGCCTTCCGGCGGCCGGAGACGCGCCGAGATCCAGTTTTGACGTCCTCCACCTCCTCCCTCCTCCTCCTCCTCCTCCTCCTCCCTCCTCCTCCTCCTCCTCCTCCCTCCTCCTCTTCCCCTCCTCCCCCCTCCTCCTCCTCCTCCCCATCCTCTCCTCCTCCTCCACCTCCTCCTCCTCCTCCTCCTCCTCCTCCTCCTCCTCCTCCTCCTCTGGAGCGGTCTCGGGGAGGCGCCGCTCCTGAAGAGCCTTGTGGCGGCCGGAGACGCGCCGAGAACCGACGGAGACACCAGGTCGGCATTGCGATCCAAGAGGGAGTTCAATACTAGTGTTAAGTCGGGCCTGTCCCCCTACAGGGGGATTTTCGACGAAAAACAAAAATATTGTTTGAATATTATTTGGCCTTTTTGGCGTATGTTTAGGGTATTTTGCATTTTTCGTCGAAAATCCCCCTGTAGGGGGACAGGCCCGACATGAAAATAGTGGTCGTCGATCCCTGCCCTACGGAAAAAACGTGGAAAAGGATTCAGAGGAAGCACTTGCCTCGTACTGAACGGTTGTCTACGGTCCAAAACATGAACACATTCATTCGCTTCGATCCCCTCTCGCTCCAGATTCGAGAGCATTCCGGCGGCCGGAGACGCGCCGAGAACCGACGGAGACGCCCGCGGTGAGAGCGAGCCTCGAACCCGAAATGTTTCCCCCTGACGTTGCCCCCGGACCCTAGAGTTAGGTCGGGTATGTCCCCCTACAGGGGGATCTTGGGCGATAAATGTAAAACAATAACCAAACAATGCAAAGAAATGGCCAACAAATGCTGAAAAAAACGTCCCCAGCCTAATGTTTGACTATTTTTAAATCTTCCTCCTGTAGAGGGACAGGCCCGACTAAAGCCTAGAGCAAGGCCGATGAGGACCTCGCGAACCCACACACCCGAAGGTATGATTTGTTCGATTCGACCCAATCCGCCCCAGATCCAGTGTTGACGTCCTCCCAGTTTTGACGTCCTCCTCCTCCTCCTCCTCCTCCTCCTCCTCCTCCTCCTCCTCCTCCTCCTCCTCCTCCTCCTCCTCCTCCTCCTCCTCTTCCTCCTCCCCCTTCCGCCTCTCCCTCCTCCTCCTCATCCTCCTCCTCATCCTCTTCCTCCTCCTCCTCCTCCTCCTCCTCCTCCTCCTCCTCCTCCTCCTCCTCCTCCTCCCCCTCCTCCTCCTCCTCCATCATCCAGGGGCCCGATAACAAGCCCCCGAGGCCAAAATCGAAGAGAAACGCCCGGATGGAAAAACGCATGCCGTCGGAGGTCCGACCGGGAGAGCCGAGTCCAAGCGGAGAAACGGAGGCCGAGCATGCGGACTCACCCAGCATGGACTTGGCATCCTCCCTCCTCCTCCTCCTCCTCCTCCTCCTCCTCCTCCTCCTCCTCCTCCTCCTCCTCCTCCTCCTCCTCCTCCTCCTCCTCCTCCTCCTCCTCCTCCTCCTCCTCCTCCTCCTGGCTCAAGTCCTGGCCTCTGGGGGCCACAGGACACCAGCATTGCCATCCAGGGCAGGCCCTGGGTGCTGGGGCTCGAGCAGGCCCCCCGTGGCCTTTTCGGCATCACGACAGCCCCACCTGTTTTCGCGACCTTGTGCGCGCCAGGGAGGCGCAGGGATCACAAGAAGCGATGGCCAAACAGCAGAAGTACATCCTCTGCAGCCGCCGCGGCTGCAAGGGCTGGGCTTGGAGCGCTTCTGGGGCTAGGCATTGTACTCAATGCGGGGCCCGTTTCAAGCAGCAG